TCCATGCCAACCATCTTCGCATTTTTGTTACATAGTTCATGCCTTCTTGCTCCCTACGCAGCCCATCCATCGTCCACAGTGCCTTCCTTCCTGCCCCATTCTTCTCTACTACATGCATAGCTGTATACTCTTCCTCACTATCTTCTTCCTGTTCCGTCGAGATTCTAGATAGAGTATCTGCCACAATGTTGTTTTTCCCCGGCTTGTACTCTGTAGTAAAGTTAAACCGCTCGATATCCGCATTCCACCTACTTTCCACGGCACCCAGCTTAGCCTTCTCTCGATGACTGAGTGGGTTGTCATCTGTAGAGACCGTGAAACGTTTCCCCGCCAAATAATCCCTGAATTTATCTACTACGGCCCATTTGAGTGCTAACATCTCTAACTTATGAGAACTATAGTTGTTCATGTTACGTTCTGATTTCCTCAGGCCCCGACTTGCAAAGCACACCGGATGCAACCTGCCGTCCTTCCGCCGGGACAGCACCGCACCTAGCCCACTAAAACTTGCATCTGTCTCTAATATAAATTCCTGAGTGAAATCTGGGCAAGCCAACACTGGTGTCTGCGTCACCCTGTCTTTCAGTTTCTCAAAAGCCTGCTGCTGTTCCTCTCTCCATTCACTATCTACCCGATCCATAGATTTCCCATGCATCAACGCATGCAGTGGAGCAGCTATTTGGGCAAACCCTTTAACAAATTTCCTATAGAATGATGTGAACCCTACAAAAGACCGCACATCTTTCACCGTCTGAGGGACTGGCCAATCTCTTACTACCCTAATCTTCTCAGGATCAGCTGTGATGCCTTCAGCTGACACCTGATATCCTAAATAACTTACCTTGGAAGCCATTATTTCACACTTTTTAGGTTTAAATCTTAAGTTATTCTCCCTCATCCTGCAAAATAATTCCCTCAATCTGACTATATGCTGATCTATTGTACTTGAAAACACCATCACATCATCAAGGTATACAAGCAACGAAGAGAACATCTTATCCCCTAAAATCCGCTCCATGTATCTCTGAAAGGTTCCTGGACTATTTGACAATCCCATCGGCAGTCGCCTGTACTCAAAGTGTCCGAAGCTTGTGCTGAAGGCAGTCTTTGGACGGTCTGAAGGTTTTACTTCTATCTGGTGATATCCCGCCGCCAGATCAAACATTGAGAAAAACTGGGCCCCCGTCAGAGATTCTAGAGTTTCATTTATCCTTGGCGGAGGAAACGCATCGCGTACCGTGACCTTATTTAAGTTACAGTAATCAATGCACAACCTCAGCGTTCCGTCTTTTTCCTCACTACTACATTGGCGGCAGAGTACGGACTCTCACTATGCTGGATTACTCCCTGATCTAACAGCTGGCTAATGTGCTGCTTCACCTCTGGTACCCTGGACTGGAGGGATCCTCCGATATGGCATCCTAACTGGCCTGTCTGTTGTCAATGGGATCTCATGCTGAACCCCAATAGCCTTTCCTATGGGCTGGCCCTCCCCTTCAAAAATATTGCTAAACTTGTCTACTAAACTCCAAACTGCACGCTCTTGTTCCTCATTCATTTTCTCCGTGTGCACTTTGACCTCCGTACGGACATCCGGTTGAACTGTCCTCACATACACCTCCTCACTTCAGTCCCAGAAGCCACTTTCCCAATCCGCCAATTGCCCCTCAAGTTCCTACGACGATCAGACAGATTTGCCACCAACACCTGGGTCATGCCTCTCACCACTCTTACAGCTGTCGGCAACACTATCACACCCTCAGGCATCCAACCTTCATCTTCCATTGTTAGAGGTTCAATCACTACTTCTTTGTTAGCTACCTGGCTTAATGAGGGAACACATACTGACAGCAACCGAGTACTCCGGGGAGGAATGGTTGGGCTTTTCTTCCTCTCCGTCGTACAATACCCCAGACTGGTGGCCTCTACCGCACATAACTGCCGAAACTCATTCAAGCAATTTTCCCACTGAGCGGTGCTCCTGGCTTCCCTGCACAAGTGATACATGTGCGGCCAGATCTCCGCAACCTCCCCCAGCACATTCATCCCCAACAACCCAACATGCAATTGCCCCGTACCCTGGGTCTCAATCCCTGGACAAACCAACAGCCCCACATCAGTGACTTCCACCCCACATACGACCATAGTAACCCGGATACACCCCACACACGGCACTGAAGACCCCGACGCCCCTTTTACCCATATACAAGTGGGCTGCAACATCACGCCTGCAGGCTCCAGCTCCCGACGGTAGAAGTTTTCATCAATTAACGACACTTCTGCCCCAGTATCTGCTAAACCCCACATTTCACGACCCGCTACCAGCACCGAAACCTTAGGACACACTGCTTTCAGCCTTAAGGTACCTTCTATCGTGATTCAATTTCTCACACGGACCACGCTTGACCACAGGTCCGCTCTCTCCTGGTTCGTAACATCGTCGGCGGAATCTATTAGTGGGGCCAGGAACGGTTGGCGGGGACTCCCTGGCCCTGGCCGTTTCCCGACCGCCAGTTCTGATTATTATTTCCAACTCGATACTGGCCATTGGCCACGTATCCCCTTGGGACACTCTCTCCTGGTCCGGACCTGTTCGTGCAATTTAAACTGAGGTGGCCTCCTGTCCACACGCACAGCACTTCGGGGGAATCGAGCCCCCAGCCTGCGGTTCGTTCTCTCTTCCCTTGGTCAGCGGTACCTCCCTCAAAGCCGCTCGTTTTTGTTCCGCCTCTCTCAGCCCCGTGATCCACTCATCTAGACTACGGTGAGGATACTTTTGGATCTCCTCCGATAACCACATACGGCTTTTTTCCTCCTTTAGTCCCCGAGTGATTGCATCTCCCAACAGGACTTTATCATATTTATGTCCATGGCGGTTCAATTCGTCATGTAAATCGAACGTAGCATCATAATATTCAAGAAGCGTTTCGTTGCTCCATTGTTTCCGATTTATAACCTTCTGAATGGCGTCGTACGTGGCCGTCTGCCCGCCGTAATGCTGCTTCAAATAGCTTGTTAACTCGTCTACCGCAAGATGCTTTATTATTCGACCAGCTTCATCTCCGTCTAGCAGCTTGAGGGTTCGGTCAACCTCTCTTAACCACTTCCCTACCTCTATTCCTGGCCTACCGTCGAACTTAGACATGGTCAACCCGGCCCCGAGACTAGTTCCCTCTCTACTATTGTGTCTCCTCATCTCCCACATTGTCTCATCGTGCTGTACTTGATACTGTGTCTTTAACCTATCTAGTGCATCCCCCAACAGAACTAGGTGTTGTTGATGTCCCTTCTCTAACTGTTGTAATTGTGTGTGATACTCCCCCCTTAACTGTTGTGCATATACAGTATTACCCGCGTAAAGTTTCACTTTCCACGATTTCTCATTTACGTCGTACCTTGCCAGAACCGTGCACTTTCACTTTCCGCGGTGCATCTACTCATATACGCGGGTGAAGCATAATTTTTTATTTAGCTCATAAAATTCATACAAATTACCCGGCCAGAATATAATTTACATTGCTGGAATTCTTATAATATGATGATCATTTTGAATATAAACATCATGGATTTTGCATTAGACATACAAATTTTAGATCTAATGTAATTATTTGGTTTACACAAAGCAAATATTTTATCTTTTGTGCAAAATATATGAAGTTTACATTCATAATATTCCCTGACCTGCAAGGAATCCAGAAATGTCAATTATATTATCCTAACTTTAGTCTGAGGTATTATTTATTACTAAACATTAAAATCTAGTGTTTTCACCCAAACATTTCTCAGAGAGGGAGGAGCCAGCGAGTGTGAGAAGAGGGGGAGGGGGGGGGAGTTGAGTCCATTATTTGAATGGACATTAACTTGGCGACTGTATTTCTCTTGAATATTAATTGTGTGCTTAAAATTAAGATGTTATTTTTACGATAACATAGGTATTGTGTTGGGAAAAGTGGAGTTTGGGGGTCGGGTCAGTCTCTATTGGAATTAATCCCATAAGTTCTGTTGTTCACTTTACGCAGTTTTCACTACCGTGGGTTCAATTGACCGCGTAAATCGGGGTACTACTGTACTCCAAACTCCCCCTTGATTTGGTTCGCCCATGCCTGATATTCCCCATTGTTCTTCCCCTCTAACATACGTTCCTGATATTCTTCCTCTAATTGTTCAATACGTTCCTGATATTCTCCCCGGGCTTTCCCCTCTAGCTTTTCAATACGTTCCACAAACTCTCCCCTCAACTGTACCGAACCCGGGCTGTCTCTTCCTTTCACCAAGTAACCCAGCACCGTCAACAACAACAAACCCATTCCCACGGCGAACTTGAGTAGAACTGAGGTCGCACACTCTACCGTTTCCATCCACTCCATGATTACATCCATTATCCCAACCACAGAACTATCAATCACGGAATAAAAGCTACGCTCTGCTACCATTTGTAACCGGTCGGAAATTCTATTCCCACTTGACTTGGGGTTTATTATTATTAGATGGTAATTGCAGTGGAAGCGCCCCTTGGAGAAAAAACCCGAACCAGCACAAACACACTTAAATTTACCAACAAAATGAATTCTCAGTGACCCGTGGAAGGATAGCATCTGTGATTGGGATGAATGAGAGGCAGAGGAGGAGGGGGGAAGAGAGAATTACTGAGAAGAGGTGGAAGGAGAGGAGTCATCCTTCCTAGGCCTCTTTGGTGTCTGTCTTACAGGCACTTTGTCTGTAGGGTCTTTTGGAACTTTTTTAAAGAAGGAATCCAGGGTTAGCTGCTTCAAATTGAATTTCTGGACCTTCCAAAAGTAGCTCATCACAGTGTCATTAAAAATACTGAGCCCCTTTTCAACAGCAGCAACATCAGGATGATAATCCTCCACAATTTTACCCACTTTGTTCCAGCTGGAGAACAATTCCTTGAGATCTTTGGCTGGAATGATGCGGCTTTCCTCCTTGTCCTCATCCTCCCCTGACTCCTCAGAAGTTAAGCTCCGCTTCAGTGTCTCTGCCTTTTCAGTATGAAGCTCGAGCAGCTCCTCAATGGACAGCTCCTTCCTGTGCTCCTCCACCAACTCTTCAACATCCTCCTCATCCATTTCCAGGCCCATGGAATTGCCCAGACACACAATTTCTTGCACAACAGCCTCTTCCTCTAACTCTTCAAAGCCTTCAAAATCTCTCTGAGGCACACATTCAGGCCACAATGGCCTCCAAGCAGCACATAGACACCTCAAAGAAACCTCTTTCCAGGCTGACACAATTAAAAACACAGCACCTGCTATATTGAAGTGACTCTTCCAAAATTCCTTCAAACTAACATCACTGGAAGAAGTGGCAGCAAAACATTTTCTAAACAGAGCCTTTGTGTAAAGCTTCTTAAAGTTAGAAATGACCTGTTGATCCATGGGCTGGATGAGAGGTGTTGTGTTGGGTGGCAAGAAGTGCAGAGTGATGAAGTTGAACTCATCTGGCAATTCTTCCAGCAAATTAGGAGGGTGGGCTGATGCATTGTCCATCACCAATAGAGCTTTTAAAGGAAGATTATTCTCCCTGAGGTAATCCCGAACAGTGGGTCCAAACACCTCAATCACCCACTCAGAGAAAAGTTTCCTGGTCACCCAAGCCTTTGGGTTTGACCGCCACATAACACCAAGGCGGTTCTTCCTAATGTTTTTTAAAGCTCTAGGGTTTTCTGCATGGTAAACGAGGAGTGGTTTTACCTTGCAGTCACCAGAAGCATTAGCACAAAAAAGGAGGGTAAGCCTGTCTTTCATTGGTTTATGGCCAGGAAAAGAAGTGTCCTCCCTTGTAATGTATGTACGGCGAGGCATTTTTTTCCAGAAGAGTCCAGTTTCGTCACAGTTAAACACTTGCTGCGAAACAAAGCCTCCCTCTTGAATCACTTTTAAAAAAATGTCATGGTGTTCCCTAGCAGCATCCTTATCTACACTAGCAGCTTCACCATGTCTCACAACACTGTGTAACTTATTCCTTTTTCTAAAACCAGTAAACCACCCCTTGGTATCCTTAAACACTGACACAGCACTATCACTTCCACTGGGAGCCTTGGCTTTAAGGTCCTCAAATACTTGTTGTGTCACATCATAGTCACTGTTAAAGCTTTCATCAAACTCTTCACACTTAATATCTTTCTCATCAACAGTCACATGTTGTGTCACATCATAGTCACTGTTAAAGCTTTCATCAAACTCTTCACACTTTATATCTTTCTCATCAGTGTGTTCAGCCATACAGGTATGCATCTTCAATGAATCATTACTGTAAAATAATTCACCACACTGTACACACACATAATTATTTTGGCGGTTATGTCCAGCTATTTGATTCATAAACTGGGCCATCTTTTACACACTTTACAACACTCCATACAAGAAAATATTTCCTTCAGTGTCACACGTTTGGGTAACCTTTGTATTGTATAAAAAGTTTTCCACTCTTCACAACTAAATTTGCATTAATAATTCTGCATATATATGTCGTTCTTGAGCTAACTGATGTGAGAGAAATATTTACCACAAGTGAACTTGTCTCACCAGTACAGCAGACAAACACTTGTCACATTTATATATTGAAACTTTTATCAGCAGTGTACACAAGCACAAGAGTCACAAGGTAGTTGTTTAGGTAGAAACATTGCAACACTCATCATACTGTAATTAGACAATATATAACACAGTGCATCACTTAACTGGTATTGTCAGGAGAAAGATTCACTTGTGTGAACCTTCTTTTTATTCTCACTGTTTCCTAGAACACCAACTTGACTTTCATATTTATAACTTAAGACTTGGAGAGTTGACAATTTACCTTAATCTTGCTTACAATGTTCTCCTGAAGATGTTCACTAATACCGTACTGAACTGACTTATTGTACAGTTGTGAGGAATTGTTCTGCCTCTTGTGTGGGATGGCCTCCTGATGCGACCATAATGTTCCTTTCCATCCACTCACACCTTTATGTCTGAAATAAAGTGAACAGTATCATAATGCTGAAGTTATCAGAATTCCATAGTTAATGGAAGACTTACTGGTAGATACTTACCCCAGGAGACAACTTGGCTGGCTCTGCACTGTACTCCACTAGAGTCTGTACATTGCTCACTAACTGCTGGGGATGTTGAGGGGCCGCGTATTCAAAACACCTCATCAGTTACGTACAGTAGCAGAGATACGGTACCGTAACTTTTAGACTCCTCACAGTCCCGTAAATTTCTCATACAGTCATCTCTTGGTTATAGCGCACTTGGTTATCGCGATTTTCGTCATCATGCCTCCATCAAAATCTGCACACCTGCTGTCATGGCGCATTTTCCAGGCCTCCAGTTGCCTCCAGGTGTATTGTTACCCCCTTGCTTCACCTACATCTATTGAGGATAACAATAACAATAACACATTTGCTGTAATCAGACATATCTAAGTTGCCTCAACAATTGCAACCCCAGTTGCAATTTCAAATTCTGTGTCTTTATTAGGGAATAACGAAGTCTCGGGTGCACTCCGTGAATGTATTATATCAAGCACAGTATCAATAGAATATCACTAATATAACAGTATTTTAACCGAAAACTATTAAAAAAACGAGTAACATATCTTGAACATCGGATGGTTAGGTAAATCTTTTGTTTTCATGTAGTTTATCTTAATTTACATTGAAATACATTAGGTTTCAGCAAAACTACTACAGTATTTATTTCTGAGAATATGAAAATGTAATATTTTTGCTGAAATGACGTACGTATTACAGTGGAAAGTGGGATAAAATAGTGACGAAAGCAATACAGTATATATGCTTTACGCGGTACCCTGCCGAACACGGAATGCTCACTTTCCACGGTGTGTGTACCCTTTACGCGGAGAGCGGCGCGAGCAGGGTGCGGGGTCGTTCAATTAAGTTAGCCACCCACCAACTGGCCCAAGTCAGTGCAGTGATAATGACCTGAGTCAGCCATCTTTTCTACTAATGTAAGTGTTAAAAAACCTAATATTAGTAGAAGAGATGGCTGGGCACACGGGGATGGGGGTTTGGTTCTGAGGCAGAGGGCAGATTATTGACCCTCACCTGTATCACTTGTATCACCTGTATCACTATTCACCACAGAGGCTTGCAGGGCCTCTTTGTCAAACCCCTCAAAGTCCATATCCTCACTATCACTGACTTGGGCCAGCTGTGGTGGGTGGCGGGTGAAGAACTCGGTAATGTTTTGTTGACTGGGCTTTTTCCCATTGGATTAAGCCTTCTGGTTTGGCGAGGTTTTTTGGCACTAATTAGTCGCCAAACTGGAGGGTTTACTGTATGTTGATATACAAAACATTTTCTTCATTATTCTGTGATAAAACAAGCCAACGAGCTTTATTCCAACGTGTATTATTAATATTTTTATGCAATCGGGAAATAGCGGCTTACTATATCCGGGTTGACCGTGTTACAGCACCTAAGGCGGTCCTGTAAGTTACGGAGTCCACTGACAAATATTTGTTTTGAGTATTCCGGTCGGAGACTAAGTCCAGTTATGGGGGTAAACAAAGAGTTACAGTTACAATCCTGTAAATGCTTTCCAGTTTGCGGCCCCTGGGTACTAACGACTAACCCTTAAGATTGAAGGTAAACCCTGTATCCTCTCAGCTGCTTCACCTTTTCATCAGAATGTGGAAACAATTTTATAATGTGCATCTTGCAGGAACTACCTTGTGTCATTCCAAGTGTCAAGGAAGTGCCCACCTACTCAGTACTCTGGGAGGAAAAAATTACTATCCACAATGAACAATGAATCCCACAGAACTGTTTGTTGAATTTAGGAAATTTTCGGTGAGCTGGAACCAATTACCCAAAAACCCATTGAAACAATGGTTTCGGTTAACGAACTTTTCGGTTAACGAACGACCTTCTGGAGCGGATTGAGTTCGTTAACCGAGGGGTCACTGTACAAGTGTACAATTGTAATAATGAATCGTCCAAAGCGAGTGAGAAAGCTAATAACCCTTGAAACTAAGAAAGAAATTATAAAGAAACGTGAGAATGGAACAAGCATTGCGAAACTTAGTGATGCGTATGGGATGGCTAAATCGACTATATGTACGATTTTGAAGAATAAAGAGGAGTTGAACACTGTGCAAGTGGCTAAGGGAATCTCTAGACTTAGCAAAGCAAGGTGTAATGTGACTGAAGATTTGGAAAATTTACTCTTAGTGTGGATAAAGGAAAAAGAAATGGCAGGTGATAGCATTAGTGAAGCTATAATTTGTGAGAAGGCCAGACAATTGTTTGAGGACCTTAAAGCCAAGACTCCCAGTACAAGTGATAGTGCTGTGCCAGTGTTTAGGGGTACCAAGGGGTGGTTTACTGGTTTCAGAAGAAATAAGTTACACAGTGTTGTGAGACATGGTGATGCTGCTAGTGCAGATAAGGAAGCAGCTAGGGAACACCATGACATTTTTTTTAATGTGATTCAAGAGGGAGGCTTTGTTTCTCAGCAGGTATTTAACTGTGACGAAACTGGACTTTTTTGGAAAAAAATGCCTCACCGTACATACATTACAAGGGAGGAAACTTCTGTCCCTGGCCATAAACCAATGAAAGACAGGCTTACCCTCCTTCTTTGTGCTAATGCTTCTGGTGACTGCAAGATAATACCACTCCTTGTGTACCATGCAGAAAACCCTAGAGCTTTAAAAAACATTAGGAAGAACCGCCTTGGTGTTATGTGGCGGTCAAACCCAAAGGCTTGGGTGACCAGGAGTCTTTTCTCTGAGTAGGTGATTGAGGTTTTTGGACCCAGTGTTCAGGAATACCTCAGGGAGAATAATCTTCCACTGAAAGCTTTGTTGGTGATGGACAATGCACCAGCCCACCCTCCTAATTTGATGGTTGAATTGCCAGAGGAGTTCAACTTCATCACTCTGCACTTCTTGCCACCCAACACAACACCTCTCATCCAGCCCATGGATCAACAGGTCATTTCTAACTTTAAGAAGCTTTACACAAAGGCTCTGTTTAGAAAATGTTTTGCTGCCACTTCTTCCAGTGATGTTAGTTTGAAGGAATTTTGGAAGAGTCACTTCAATATAGCAGGTGCTGTGTTTTTAATTGTGTCAGCCTGGAAAGAGGTTTCTTTGAGGTGTCTATGTGCTGCTTGGAGGCCATTGTGGCCTGAATGTGTGCTTCAAAGAGACTTTGAAGGCTTTGAAGAGTTAAGAGGAAGAGGCTGTTGTACATGAAATTGTGTGTCTCAGCAATTCCATGGGCCTGGAAGTGGATGATGATGAAGTTGAGGAGTTGGTGGATGAGCACAGTAAGGAGGTGTCCACTGAGGAGCTGCTTGAGCTTCAAAAAGAAGAAAACGAGACACTGAAGCGGAGCTTAACTTCTGAGGAGTCAGGGGAGGATGAAGACAAGGAGGAAAGCCACGTCATTCCTGCCAAAGTTCTCACGGAATTGTTCTCCAGCTGGAACAAAGTGGGTAAAATTGTGGATCATCATCCTGATGTTGCTTCTGTTGAAAAGGGGCTCAGTATTTTTAATGACACTGTGATGAACTACTTTTGGAAGGTCCAGAAATCAAGGTTGAAGCAGCCAACCCTGGATTCCTTCTTTAAAAAAGTATCAAAAGACCCGACAGACAAAGTGCCTGTGAGACAGTCACCAAAGAGGGCTAGGAAGGATGACTCCTCTCCTTCCAACTCTTCTCCATAATTCTCTCCTCCCCCTCCCCCTCTGCCTCCTGTCCTGCATGCTGAACAACACTAAGGTAAGATAAAGTATCGTATTTTTTACAATTTCCACAGAAAATTTTCAGTGTTAAGTGGTTGTATTTGGGGGCCTGGGACGGATTAATCCTATAACGAATGAGGTTCTAGAACCAATTAGATTCGTTATAGCATACCCCACTATACTCGGATGAACCTTTACTGAGTTAACACAATGATCTGGTTCTCCATGGTGTGTCTTCATCCTAGAATGTAGGAAAAAAGTCACAAACCTTAACATTATTTAGGCTATTTAAAAGATGTGTTTATATCCTCCGACTTTTTCAAACCCAAATTGTGACTTTCTTTCCAGACATCTTAGCTCATTCCTCCCCCTAAACAGAAGATATCATCTTAAGTGAGCAACAACTCTCCAGGCACTGAATCTAAAGGCCCGTTTCCACTTGAGAGCGGACTCTCGACAGTTACTGTCGATAGTTCTCTCATCTGTGCATCCACACTAGAGCAAACTTCTGCGAGTTTCAGCTGTCGAGAGTCTTCCCGACAGTAGCTGTCGGAGAGAACTCTCAGTGGCGTGTCCACCTGAATAGAGCTACACTCTATAGTGACTCTCAGTCGGTCGGTAGCAATGGGTGGTAGAGGACGTGACAGAAAGTTTGCTACAGCAGTAATAGTTATGCTGATGCTGAGAAGAAAAAGCAAAAACAGAAAAGAAGGTGTTGGATAAAGCACTGGGTGGAACAATGAGGTGAACTGGCAGCTAACAACAGGCTTGTGAAAGAATTATAGATAGAAGATGCTCAACAGTTGTGTAATTTCACCCATGTGTCAGCAGTTCAGGTGGAAGAGTTGGTATATTTAATGCAGCACATATTTTTGTCGTTAGAAGTATTCAACGAAATCTTGGGCTTTAAATTATAGTAGTACAGTATTTCTGTTGTTTCAGTCATTTACACATTTTTGATAATGTGAATAAACAAATACCATACCCAGTTCTTTAAATTGTCGAGTTTTCTAAGAATTTCTGCTCTCTGTTGCGGTAATCTTCCCTCCCGTGATCCCACAAATTAGGATTCTCTTCATACAAGGATATCAACCGAAAAGTCTTCTCCCGAGACCAGAGCGCCACGCTTCACCTCTCGAGAGCACCGTCGGACTGCGAACCCGGTTGGTACAGCCAAGAGTTGACGTGACAGTTGCGGGCTACCACGCATCCACACTAGCATAGAGTAGCTGTCCGACAGCAAACTATCAGAG